CACCTTGTGGCACAATATTTTGCAAATAAATCCTGGCACTGCCGCCCAAGGTTTAATGACCAGAATGTCACCAATTAAATTTTCCTGCAATTTTTCTAACTTTCCCCCAGCAAAAAAAAAATACTTGCTTTCTTACTTCAATTTTTTTTTGGCTGATCCCTTGAAATTCGAAGTGAGGAGGTTCGACCGTAATTGATAGAATAAAAAAAAAGAAAAACGCAAATGCCAATCGAGCCCCTTATTCTGGGCATCGCAGTGCGATGAGTCCCTTATACACAATAATGTTCTTTTCCCTTCCTTCCGATCCGCTGCTGCTGATTGAAACACGTGGGTGCTTGGTTGGAAATCCGCCGTGAAATCACGTGGCTGCACGAACAGCCAATTATTTCCCTCTTCACAAAAGCTTGCCTTTTTCCTTGCTTGGGCGTGGACCTGCTTCGCTGCTTCCACGCAAAACCCGGGGATGGTGCTGCCCCCTCGACACCCAACCAATCCGTCATTGTCCACAACAATTTGGTAACTTCACAGGAAGCTGGTCCATCATTTTAAAATACAATATAATATGCAACGTGGAGCAAAAACAACGCAAAATACTTCTCACAATTGTTCCTCTTTCTCATCCCCAGTGTTGGAAATTGAAATAGTGAACACAGTTAAGTAAGATTATATTGGCGCTGTTGAAAACGGTAGAACTTTGGGAAAGTTGGGGATCTGGTGGGACTGAGTGCGACCAGTTCCCATGGAATTCCAAATTCTTGGGGAAATCCTTCTAAAGGGATAAGACTGCTCAGGGACAAACTATTGTAGAATGAAATGAGTTTAAATATTGGATAGATTCTGTATTGAATCATCAGTTGCTTCTGGGTTGTCTTGCGCAAAAGACTGCTTGCAAAATCTGCTGTTGTGGTAAAATCCTTGAAATCTTGAAAATACTGTACATCAACCTTACACTAGGGTGTTCAGCACCCTGGCCGCAGCCCGGCTGATTATTGTTCAAAATTTATTTCAAACATCAGAAAGTTCAAAGTCAAAATCTTCAAACCTTTTCCAATTCCATTCCTAACACCCAGAATAAATATTGAGTACAAAATGGACATTTCTTTCTCAAGTTCTAGATGAAAAAGAGTGGGGTGCGCACCAGGGTTGGGTATAAATTACTTGCACATTTATAAAAAACATTAAAGTTTATGCGCGCATTTCAATTTATTATCATGAGAAATTTTGAATCAAGTTCAACAGAATTTATTCGTTTAATGGAAATAATTGAAAGTTAGTTAAATTCATGTTCAATTAGTTTTTAAAGTCAAAATTTGAGTGTTCTGATATTTTAAAGACTGTGGTTTTATAGTCATTAAAAATGGGGTGCGCATCTTACTTGGGTTAGGATTTATCAAAATTTTCAAATGAAAAACCTGTGTGCGTGTCTTACTTAAGGGCATGTGGCACTTGAGTATCGTTTTGCAACAAAATGCAAGGGACCAGCAAACATTTTTCCTGCGAAAATCATTGTAGAGAACCCTATATGGAATCAAAAAAAAATTTGTTGAACATAAAAAAGTGTTGTAGATAAATTTGTTCTAGAGATTCCACCTGTACAATGAAAGGCCCACACAATGAAACATCCACACTACAAAAATGTTTTTGGGGAAAACATAACTTTCACTACAAAATTGTGTCACATAATGTTATTTTTGGCCCAGAAAAAAATCTAAAATTTTAATATAAAGTTGTTGGAATACTAAACCTGTTGAATGAGTGAACTGTAAGTGCTTTTATTTGGTAGTCATAAAAAATCGATACAAAATGAGTTTTGCACTGAAACCAGAGAATGTTCTGAAAATCAAGAATTTTTTTACATCCTCTTGTCCTCGCTCGCAATTTGAGAAATTAAAAAAGTTGAAATCAAGAGTTATCAGGATTACTTCAATTTCATGGTGAAAAATATGGAATCCCCAATTTGCTGCCAATAAATTCACAAATGCCATGGCTTATATATTATGGTCATTTTCTGAGTGGTAGGATGCAATTAAATCAATTACAATGTAACCTTATGCAAAAAGGCTTTTCACACAAACAATTGGCACAGCAAAACTCATCTAGGAATGGAATAGTTTTGTCATACTAGGGGACCCGTTCTGCAGCAATGTCTATCTTTTTTTTTTTGCAAACGCACCTTTCGCAGTTTTGCCAAGATAATGTTCAGCATTTTACTCTGAACAGCTTGAGAAAGAAAGAATCATTTAACCTTGAGGCACAGCTCACTTAACACTAGTCAAGCCTGATGGGCCCATCAGCAGGGAACCCTCGAGTGAAAATTGGAATGCAAACTAAATACAGAAAAGTGGGCTCGGAAACGCGCAGTTGTAAACCACAGAAAAAAAATAAATAAAAAGAAGAGGGGAGAAAAAATGACATCAGCAGCCCAAATGATGAGGCAATCATCTTCCCCGAAAAGCTACAAATGGTAAGCAAGTCCCCCGAGAATTTATGAATGACCCCCTCATCCATTCTGTCGGGAATTTTTCTATTTACTATTTATTTCACAAAAAACACAAACATGCGAGAGAATTTTTCGGACATGGAAAATGACTCAAAATTGCGACCTCAACTGCCCGAAACAGAAAAAAGGGCTGATCATTTTATTCTTCGAACACCGTAGACTTCGTAAACCAAACAAAATATTTCGACAACAAAAATTATTCACAGCATTGTATACATTTCTGATTATTTTTGCGATTAAACTGCAATTTTAATTTTATCATGATCACAGTCCTACGATTTCGATTGGCGTGATCCTCGAAAATCGACATGATTATTTTCAATTCAATAATTAACCGACGTACATTTCCAATTAATACATTAAAAAACTTTCGAAAATTGTGTTGTTTGCAAAAAACGCATAAATCTCTTCATTGAGAACTAAAATCATGAGTCCTGAAGAAATGAAACATCAGAAATCGACACGATTATTTTCAATTCAATAATTAACCGACATACATTTCCAATTAATAAATTAAAAAAAAACTATCGAAAATTGTGTCGTTTGCAAAAAACGCATAAATCTCTTCATTGAGAACTAAAATAATGAGTCCTAAAGAAATTAAACATTTTATTTCCTACAATTGTATCCTGTTTTCGCGCAACAGGATAACGCTAGAAAAATATGCGTTTGCCCACAATATAGGCCTCTTTGAAGCATATATATTTTATTTAAAATAAAATAAAAAATAAAAACTGAATGAAAGGTCATGTATCTTATCTCGGCCTCACACAGCTCAAACATCAAGCCGACAAAACGGTAATAAAATGCAGCAAAAGTTTACTCTCCCACAGTTTCCTATCTCAGCACTGTTTTCCGATCAGATCTCACAAGGTGCGAATAAGCACTTTGTAAAGTGTTTGTCCACAGATAAGATAAATTATACATTTTCTCATTCATCCAAAAATAAAAAAGAACATTATGGGTTACGTTGACTCATACAGTGTACATATTCGCGAATATATTGCATTTTCACGGACTTGAGCATCATCAAAACCTCTGGAACCAAATTTTGCAACGAATAATTTTCGAAAATTTGCGTTTTTAGAATAGTATTTTCATCGTTCCCATGTCAATTTTTTTCCCCAAGAATTTTCCTCCAGCTCCAATTTGAAAAGAAGGCAATTCGACATCTTCATTCGGTGCTGTCAGAATGAATAAAAATTGTGACGGTAGAAGGAGGATCACGAATATTGCAGGTATTTCAACCTATGATGAAGGACTTGATTTTGAAAAATGAAACTATTTGTGTGACAAATTTTTTGCAACATTATCATTAATTACTTCGCTCGAAATTTTTCTTAGATGGCTATAAAAAGTTATTGTCAGCATCGAACCGCTTCTTGATTTACAGAAACTTCTGTTTCTTTTTAATTGTTTCCTTAAAACTCAATTTCTGCTAGATTTCACTTTTATTTCAAATAATTAACATAGACTATATTCACATTAAATAAATAAAATATAAAGAAGATGAACTCATCCTTGGTTTAGGGAATATTCTGTTTCTTTTTTCCGATGTCGTTGTTGGAAATTTTCTGAGGTGCATAAAAATTTAATTGCTGCCAGATTTCACTTATTTGATTTCAAATAAATAAAATAAAAATGTATACTCACATAAAATAAATATCCGAGAAGATCTAGACGTTATGGAGAACCCAGAAGACGAATTGTGGGCAATGCAGGCGAATGGGGTCGAGTCCAGCAAGGGATCGACTCTCGTGATTCGCAAATTGGATCCCGACTGAAATCTGCGAGACGTGTTGTCAAGTTTGCGGCCATCTTGGACCCAGTAATAGCTGATGAAGTCCTTCTGAATAGTGTCGCACTTGAGCGTCACTGACGAGCCTGACACAGCCTCGACGACACTTTCGGGCTGCACACTGAAGAACAGGTCTTCGTGTGACACGAACCCGTCAATCGTGAATGATAAAAGGCAACACACTAAAAAAAGTTTCATGTCTTTATCGTCAGCATTCCTGATACTAACTTCATACTGAATATCCTGAAACTGAACAAAATATAAAAACGTGAGTCTTCACTGATGTCTACAAAAATAAAAAAATCCGCTCGCGGTTGATCCAGGAAATAAAATTAGACTCCAATAAAAAAGTGTGCTTCCAAAATTCAAGTTTTACTCGAATTTTCAAATGTCAAAGTGAATTTTTGGTACTTAGAAGTGAATAATACAAATCTTAGGTTTTAATACGCACAGCTTATAATTAAAAGCTCATATTTAAATTTTTAGCTTTGTACAAACTTCGAGGTTCGTCTGGTTAAAAAAATAAAAACGTGTACCCGCGCAGAATAATTTATTTATACATGCCATTTATTCGCTCGAAAGGTTGCGGAGATTCACAAAAAAAAAGAAGTGATGAAATTTATTTTCAATGTCTGTGTGTCTGTTGCTGAAACACTGGCAGAAACAAGTACTGTAACAGTGTCAACAAAACCGCAAAAAAATATGGAGTGCAAAACGTCTGGGCTCAAAGTTTTCCTCTTTTCGCACGAACTAGTGTCGCAGAAAAAGTAAATATTAAAATTCTAAATTCGAGATGTCGAAACAACATGAAGTACTCTATTCATAAGCAAGAAAAGTTAGAACAAAATATCTTCTGGGGAGAAAATGCAAAGCTGAGAAAAATAATTTTTTTGCGCCAACAGTTTTGTCTTCCGCGGAGGAGAGAATAATTTTGAAGTTTCTCAAGTGTAGTTAAGTTAAGTATTTTTTTCTCGCACACACACACCACACCTCGTGTATGTCATACCACAAAAACCGCAGAATAACTGTCAACCCATCAACTCTCAATGAAACCAGGCGAGGCAAAGGTTCAAAAGCGACACTACGTATATATAATCTCGTGAAGTTTATGCTAATCTATCCTGGGATATTTACTACTGCTTTCTGCTTCTTTAAAAAGAACGTTTAGAAAAATACATCAAATGACTATCAGATAATTTCCGTAAGTCATGAATTCAAACGAATTCGAAGATGGAGAGCGCGTCATAGAAAAAAATTCATTTTCCAATACATTGAAAAAGACCTTCTTGCAAAATTCGAAAAGTATGTCATGTGACACATGCTTTTCAATTTCTTTGAGTTATTTTTCATACACCGATTCGACTTCTTGAGATGCTTTAATAACGATTAAAATACAGACTTTAGAAATGGCCAATGATTTTCATCAGTGGGACATCGTTTACATTTATGGTTCGACTTCATCTGAAGGGTACTTCGATTATTCAAACAAAAATCAAATCAGAATCAAATACATATAGTTGAGAAAGTACAGTACTGTACATGCATGAAAGCATTGGAAACCTCATTAAAACGCCATCGGCCAAAATCATTGTAAACTCAAACAAGCTCCTGCCAAATTTTTCTTTGAAAGCCCGCAAACAAGATTTGAGTTTCTGCAAGAAATTTTCAATTAGAAAAAACACAAACAAAAAGATGGCATAATTTATACTTCTCTGGAACATTAGCTATAGATTTAATTTACCTAACCAAAGGTTATTTTGATTGTTTTCTATAAGATCAATAAACATCTTCTTTCCTATTAAACTTGATTTTCAATATTATTTTGGTTTTTTTATAAGTTGCCAACCGCCGTTAAACTGCCTAAAATCTCATAAACAAATGGTGATCAAGATTTGACTGTATTCATGGAAGAAAAAAAATTACATCTGAATAATTCCCTGTCACTGAATTCATCATATCTGTAGTTTTTCAAGCCAAACAAATGTAATGAATTGAAATTTATTGCAGTACATTTGAGGAAATATGATTGAACCTTGATTACCGGTGCTCAAACTTCACCAAGTCAATTTTTTTCAAGTCACATTTGGACTTCCCTTGGAAACAATGCATTAAAACCTCTCTAACTCAAGGGCATTTCCTCTCAATCCTCCATAAGTCAAATTTACTGAGGCCTTTTTTGCTATTATTTCATCAACACAGGATTGAAAGAGATAAGCAACAAAATAAGGAACAACGTGTTTCAAAATGAATTGAAAGACTATTCAGGCTAATGAACCCTTTCATCCAAGTTCAGCATCCTGTCAACTCATTCAAACAGCAATTTAAGGCTCAGAATATCACCATTTACAATTTCCTACAATTTTTTCCATCCCTACCACAATAAAAGTGCTCATTCTTTTCAATTAAAATATTTTGTTGGTCCCTGGAAATTCAACTTAGAAAAGGTTCCAGTATACTTTTTGATCCATTCAACTGTGGTGTCATTGCAACAAAAAAAATACACAAACACTAAAAATCGGGGTTCTCTTCTGAAAATCATTCTCAGGAACTGCGATCCGCGCGGAGGTCGGAGGACAACTGACAGCACCGTTCGCAAAGCAGCGCCAACAACCTCAGTTTCACTGCGCAAGAAGAAGTCAAACATTGAAGAAAAAGGGAGAGATGGAGAGAGAATTACTGTAAGCATATGTAAAAAAAAAAGAACCAAATAAAAAATATTTTTTACAGGAGGGCAATGATGGAAAAGAAGCCTGTGCTCCTGAGAGGTATTGAGAAAACATTTCGCGGCTTGAAGGCTTCTTTTTCCTCTATATAGTGCTTCCCCAAACGATGTCAAACCCGGTGTTCCTCTCGCATATTTTTCTTCCTTCCGTTTCACGTGTTCCTTGTTTTTTTTCTTTCTTCTTATTATTCTAATCTTTACTTTTGAAACACCCCCCCTGTCCCTTTAGTCTCGTTTTCTAAAACAAGGGGGTCGAACAGTTATTCTGGGCATCTGTCCTCGTTGTCGACGCGAAACTCCACATTGGCGACGACGAATGACATGCGGGGGCCTGTTTTCTCGTCACACGTCCCACGAAATCAAGATTTCCGCGTGTTTTTTTTTCCTTGGCTAAACATTAATCAGAGGAGAAAGCGGGGATTTTTTTTAGGCAGCGCACTTCTTTATTTTTATAGGCCGCAAATTGTGCTCAAGAATAACGCTGAAGCGTGGCCTATACTTCCGGGTAAGTATTATTTGTGGATATAGGCCGCGTAGAATTATTGAAGAATTCAGAAAAAATGTATGTGGAAAATAATTTAAGCGATGGAAAGTTAATCAATGCACTGAGAAATCATCAATTAAATTTATCATACTATAATGTGAGACCAAAATTATTTTACCAACCCAGGTTGAAAATCATATAGCATGAAGAAAAATTATAGAAATGTTTAGAATAAAAAAGCTGGAAGGACACGCAGAATAGCACAAGCATAATTTAGGAAAAATTACAGATACTTTTTACAACCTAATTTTCAATTCAAAGCAGAGTCCAAGAAATCCAGTGCTGTACAGTATAATTAAGAAATATAGAGGGCGACACCAAAAATAAATTTTACCGAAAATTCATTTGTAAAAGACACACATTATTTTAAAAAATCAGTGTAATGTTACTGATATGTGCTGATATTCAATTTGGTTTCAAAGTATTTATTCATAAAAAATCATGTGTTATTAAAACAGCAACGCAGTTTTTGAAAGTGGAAACCTGATTCGTGTGATTCATGTTCATGAAAAAATACAAATTCATTTCATTTTTCTTTGCAAGCTGATATTTTTGGATATCTGTGACAAATTGAGAAAAAAATTTCAGACATGGTTCTATAAACCAATCAAAGTTTACAGACAGAAACAGGGGAATATTAAGACCAAAATATTTTCCGCCATTCGAAAAAAAAACTTTTCAGGAAAGGAATGATAATAATTCCTTTCTTGATCCAATTTTTAAAAAATTTATTCCATATTTGATAGATAATTCAAGGTCAGAGCTTATTTTTTCCGTCTCCCCTGTCTCAAAATTATCTTATCATAAATGTGTCTTAAATTGTCCATAAACCAAGTTTTTCCTTATGAAATTTTTTGTTGTTGTCTGGCTCACGATTAAGTCTGCATATTTTTCCCACCTGGAATGGCTGATGCTAGAACATCAGACTGCTACCCATATTGAAAACTCAAACGCGTCCTATAAACTGTCACGTAAAAAAGGTGTTAAATTTGGCATCCCTGCTGATGGTATATATTATGGGGATGATGCTCATCAATTGTTTCTCGACACGTCACAGATCACGGCTGTCACGTCACGACAGCTTGAGTCCAATTAGTTACCCTGACGCCACGGGTGCGAGGCTATTTTCGAACCAATATCTTCCCCTGCTGGAAGTTGATGGTTACCTGCAGCTGCGTCTCTAGTGTAGCACGCAACATGTGGTGCGTTTTTGTTCGACTTCATTAGGAGTGTTTCGAGGGTTGATTTTTAGAGACATTTCCATAAATTTATCGCAGAATGAAATAGACACAGACACACAACTAGTTACAGTATAATCATGGGGAACATACAGCTGTGTGGCGGATATCGTATCCCTTTTCGCATATTCAATTTGAATGACATCTACCTTCAAATATATGTAACTTTGATCGTTTTAGAGTGCAGGAAGTTAAAGAGCCCGCTCCTTCTGATTTGTAGACAACGTGAATGAGCGACATCTACTTAAACATTTTAAATAAAAAGAAAGTAGTGCATCTGACATTGGCGTTACACAATGCGCTCTGCGCTCGAACTGTCCCCACGTGCGCGGTTCGACGGGTTTTATTTAAGAGCGCGTGTTCGCGTGGGCCGATTTCAAACAAGGCCTCCTTAACTGAAGGGGAAATAAGTGAGAATGTGGATCACTTGGCGCTGAATTCATCATCTGGTTTACGGTGTAAATGCTAGCCGTTTGCTGTGTATTTCCGTGAACGGTTTAGACATCTGTGTACTCTTCAATTCCTCATCGATTCGCTAGTTTTTCATCCGGTATTCCAAGTGTTACCCGTTTTATGTGAATAATCGTGGTCTCTTAATGTTCGTCTAATTTTGGAATTCTGTGCAGATCATTATCATGGACCCCGTCGCGGACACTGTACCCATTTTGAATCAAGAGGAGTTTCTCCTGCGTTTAGAGATCATTGCTGAGGAGAAGCAAGCTCGCCGACGTGCTGAATTTCTGGTCTTCGCCGATTCCGATGTGAAAGCCTGCAAACTATTCGCGAATATGCCTGCGATTGAAATAGCTCACTGTGTGAAAGGGATGTTGATCTTCCTTGCTGATGACTACGACCGTATTCGTGAAATCATCGCCAAAATGATTCATAACGCTGTCAGCTACATTAAAGACACACCGGAAAACAGGCCGTCGTTACACGGAGTGATACGTGAATTGCAACCAATTCTAGTCTGCTCGCTTGGATCAGCTGATTTTTCGGAAGGAAACGAAGAAGCGCGCTTAGCTATGTTTGAGCTTTTCTTGATGGTTTTGAAATCCAAGTCGTATTTCATGGAACATCCGGAGCAAATGGGAGACGTCGCCCTTATTATCGAGAAAGGGCTGCTTGATACATACGCGAGGATCAATCAATTAGCTGCGACTGCGTTAGTGTCGTGGGCTTCAGATTACGCATCTCAGGTTTCTGACAACGTAGCCTACGTGATGCCAGCTGTGAGGCAATGTCTGAAAGCAAAGCAAACATCAGTGAGAGTGTCGGTGTTGAAAGCATTATCAGTGCTTGCCGGAGTTTCGACTGAGATACCGAACGAAATCTGCGACGACCTATGGAAACTGATCATCGTTGAAAATTTTACGTTTAAATTGACGTACATTGATCTCGTGAAGAATTCCCTACTTCTAAGCAAGCCCAGGACCGACGAGTACTACAGCAAGATCTTGTTGCCGATTTTGCCGATCTTGGAAGACGAATGTGAAAAGATGCGTGATTTCGCCTGGAAGTCCTGGTCTGAAGCAGCGAACTGCTTTCCATTTCCGACTGAAATCGTCAGAGACAAGTAAATAACCAATACATTTTGTAGAATTTGTTTGGGTCATCGATGGGATTTTTTTTACAGCTACGATTTTCCGCCATCACCCTGTCGGGCATTGGTACGAAGATATTTGAAGCTCTGGGTCCCGGAACTGTGTTCTCAGATGAAAAGTCAAATCAATCCCAAAATTCGTCAAATGGCCGCACGAGGACTTCACATGGCAATGGAGCACGCGAAAGCCTCAGCTACTGGCCAATGTGACAAGATTCTGGAATCGTTGTGTTGTGCTATGTCTGACGAAAATCTAGACGTAGTTACTGAAGTTCGAGTTTGTGGTCGTGTGTTGGGAAAGTATGTTCCTCCCGAGATCTGGTCTCTCATTTTGGAGAGTATCTTCGAAAGCTTGTCGCAAAGCAGTGCCGGGGAAGAAGCATTAGCCTTTTCGATGCCACTTCTGCGTGACCTGATGGATGGAATCCCAAAAGATTCGATCAGAGCTAAAATGTTGTGTGAGGTAGAATCGGGGAGACGTTTGTTTCAGGTCGTGCTTTCTTGCATGAATTTTGGTTCTACGCATCATGAAGACACTATTTATATCATCGTGGAACTTTCGCACTACATGAAGTTCGAGGAGGTGATTCACTTTTCATATTGATCAATGTCCCTGATACTTTATTACAAAGTCTTATTTCCTTCTTTTTCCCCTTATAGTTGGATGATGCGATTTCAAGGCAGTTTTTGCAATTTTGCTTGATAAAACTGAAGTTCTCGCCTGATGGATCACCGCACAAAAGCCAGCTTGTGGATATTGTGAACGAACTTCCGTGCTTCAGTGACTTCTTCGATTCCCTCTTGACGAAAGCTACTGAATCTCTTTGGTCCCTGGTTACGGATGAAGGCTGGATTTGTTTCGAGGAAAGTTGTTCATTGGGCGGTGTCGTGATTCTGAATCGCTACGATCGCGTGTTGAATTTATGCGGAAGATTGGCGCATAATCCGGCCGCGGAACCTGCGCTAAAACTCAGGTGAGTGAAAACTTTCGAAAGCATTATTGCCTCATTTGAAAAACTGTTATGATTTTCAAATTTCAGGTCCCTGAAAATAGTGCAAGACATGTTGAAACGCTTCGTTAAGCCGCGCAATAATATGAACAAGCCAGAAAATTTGCCAATTGTATTCCAAGATTTGTTGAAAACGTGTCTTGTGCCGGAACTACGAAACAAACGTGGACCGGCTTCTTCCGTGATTCATTCCGCTGTTGTTGAAGTGCTCACAACCGCGATTTTTTCGGTTGAGTTGAATGATGAACACTTCCAAGGAAGCGATCCTGATCTCTGCAAAGAAATGGCCGAACTTGTCGACCACCCGAAGTTTGAAACGAGAGGAAAAGCGTTACTAATTTGTAATTCCCGACTTCCTCATGTCGGGGAATCTGCTGCGAATCTCGTCATCAAAACGATATTCCCAGGTGTGATCCAATCTCCATTCATTTTTGAAAATTCGATTCAGAATTTCAAAAATTGATTTGTTGACGTCATGTTTCCTAAATACCTTCCACTCATTCTTGAATCTCACATATGTCTTTAAAGCCGCGTTGGCGGGTTTGGAGGATGGTCAAGCAAGCAATCGCGTGCTTTCGGCACAAACTCTCGGAATTGTATGCTCTGAACTTGCGAAGAATGATCGAATTTCAAACAAGCAGAAGAACGATGTGTACAGCGAATCGCTTGCCCGTTTGTTCGCCTTGATTCCTGCCGAAAAGCCGCCGTTCAACGCTCAGTTTTTAGGTATTTATCTTTTTGACCATTTTCGTTAATTTATTTTATTTTATTTATTTATTTTTTTCCAGAGGAACTGAAAAGGATCGGATTGCTGGCGCCGACGATTTTCGCCACAGAGAAACGTCGACTGGAAGGTTATGGTTCTGTTCCAGAAGTTGAAGAACTTCTACAAGAATTATCCAAGATATCCGTCTGATATTGGCATGAAGATACTTGATCTCGTGTTGTTTTTTCCATCTTTTTCTCAGAAATTGCCGTCCAGTCAGCTAAAAAATCCGTCCAACATATATCATGTGTTCGTGCAATTTTTATTTTTTCCGTTTGGGATGGGTGTGGAATTGTTAAAACGAAAGCTTTAAATTTGTGTTTATGTATTGACAAATGTGTTCAGTTCGCAAAGTCCTGTATGTGAAAACAAAAATTGAGCATATCCGCGTTATTCGAATGATTCATAGCTTTTTTTATCGCTTTTTATTTTTTATTTCAATTTTTCTGCTCTCGGTCAAATATTTTCTGTCTGGATTTTCAGGAATATGAACTCCAAAATCGACAAAAGCTTCATCAAATTTTTTGCGAGTGCGCGACTAGTGACACGGTGTCAGAGTAATCTTGCGGCCGCGAATGAGAGAAAAGTGGACCCGGAGACCAAGAAATGGCGAACTGTCGTTGGACTCGAAGTTCATGCTCAGATTAAATCGAAGTCCAAATTGTTCTCGCAAGCTGGAACTGCTTTTCGTGCTGCACCAAACGCACTGGTTTCTCCTTTCGATGCCGGTCATCCTGGCACGTTACCGGTTTTGAACAAACGTTGTGTGGAAGCTGGTGTCGCTACTGCACTTGCTTTGAATTGTCGGGTGAGTTACGACAGACAATCGACTCGAATTCTCGAATTTGATGTTATCGGTACATTTCTGATGTGTAAATAACTGTTGATGGGCAAATTTCGGTCCTTTCCTTGAAATTATTCCATCTTGTAACCCGCAGTCGCATTTTTTTGGTGGTCAAAGACTCAGAGTGCTAAGGCTACGACAAAAAAAATTTTCTTAAATATCAGCGATGTTTCAAGTATAACGTTTTTATCTCGGAGATTTATTACAGTTGAATTACTTGAACCTCCTTTAAGTCAAACTTCAAGGGACCAGCAAACAAATCCTAAGTAGGGAAACGCATTTTCTTCTTGAGCCAAATTGAATTTAATCGTGTTTTCGTTTGCTGTAGATCAACAACGTTTCAACTTTTGATCGGAAGCACTATTTCTACGCAGACCTCCCTGCGGGCTATCAAATCACTCAGCAACGCCTTCCTTTAGCAGTGGACGGTTTTCTGGAATTCCCTGTATTCAATAATGATGTATTGAAAATGTACAGAAGCAAGATTAAGCAAATTCAGCTTGAGCAAGACAGTGGGAAGTCGTTGCATGACGAAGACCGGAGTTTAGTTGACTTGAATCGAGCAGGTGTCGGTCTGATGGAAATTGTCTGCGAACCTGATTTGGGCTCTTCTGCAGAAGCTGTTTCATTCGTAAAGGAACTCATTTTGGTCTTGAAAACTATCAAGACTTGCGACTGCTTGATGGAAGAGGTCAGTTTTGTGATCATTTCGAAGGGCTCTAACAAAAGTTCTTGGAATATAAATTGAAACGATATATGATTGAGCTGAAAAACAATTATTGTTCAGAAAAAAAGAACGAGAAATTCAGCCCTGTTGGACGTATTTTTTTTATTTATTATTGCTGCAAAAGTCACCCTGGCAGCTTTGTGTTCTTTACTTAAATTCTTGAAATTGGCGTGGCATTAATTCTAAAAGGCTTCCCTTCACTTTTCAAGGTGATGTTTAATTCGTGTGACTAAAAACAAATTATGTGCTGAATTTTTTTTCGGTGCCAAGAAATGTTTTTCTGCTCAATGACGTGTCATTTCAATTTTGATTCCGAGAACATTTGTTACACCCCTCGGTTTAAAATGACCCGCATTACTAATTTTGTCACTATTTTTTATTTTATTTCAGGGATCTCTTAGAGTCGACGTCAACGTGTCCGTTTGCAAAGAAGGGGACTCTGAACTCGGCACACGAACGGAAATAAAAAACCTCAGCAGCTTAAACGCCGTTGCGAAAGCTGTAGAATGCGAATCCAAGCGGCAAATATCCGAGGTTATGTCGGGTCGGAAAGTGTTTAACGAGACTCGTGCTTTTGATGACGTGAAGAAAGTTACAGTTTCCATGCGAGTCAAAGAAACAAAGGTAGATTATCGGTTCATGCCTGAGCCGAATCTACCTCCTTTGATTCTCAGTGAAGTGATCGATGTTGGAATGATTGAAAGAAGTTTGCCTGAACTTCCTTCCGAGTCGAGACAGCGACTGCTTAAGAATTTCCTCCTGAAACCTCTTGTGGCAGAGGCCATTGTGAACAATGGTCGGTTACTAGAGTTCTTTCTCGAGGTGATGTCGAAGAACCCGGAACTGAAGCCCTCGAATGTGGCGAATTTTCTGCTTATCCACGTTTTGGCTGAAGCTGCTGAACAAGGGCTCGATGATTTCCGTGAACTGCGAAGCTTGACAAACACCTTAGTTGCAGATTTGCTACTCTTGGTTGAAGCAGAAACGATAACCATGGATTCTGCTGGCAAAATAATCAAGAAAATCGCAGGCGGAGACCAAAGGCATCCTCAGGACATTGCGGAAAACGACGGACTAGTGACGGAAAAGAACGAAGACTTGATCAAAGCGTGGTGCTCGGAAATATTGGAAAATAACCCCGACCTTGTGAAGAAGGCGAAAAAGGGGAAATCCAGGGCCTTGAATAAATTAATTCAGCAATTAGGGAAAGAACACGGAGACAAGCTTCACATGGGGAAAGCTGCGAGGATCATCAAAGAAATGGTTGAAAAATCTTGAAGTGTTCTCTTTTATTATTATGGAAGAGATCTCCGTCATTTTTGAAACCTTTCAGTGCTGTGAAAAATTTAGTGTATTCAGACATTTTTCTTTCGTTTGCTGAAAATATGCCAGGCATAATAACGCTGACGAAAATGTCTCATTTGGAAGACTATGGAATGAAGATCCATTTCCATCACTTGAGTAATCAACAAGATACACAAACTTGAATGTCAAAATGAGTTGGAGATCGAATAAAATTCATGAATGATTGAAACTCTGTAAAACAAGTTGGTCATCCATTCATGAATTTTATCGAATCTGCGGTAATGAATTTTCCTTCGTGTATGTGTCCTGTAATGATTGCTAAAGTGATGAGAATGAATATTTATTCCCTTTTTTACCCATGTTGAAGCATTTTCTTCAACCTTTGGGGGCCTTTCTTGATAACACCTCTCTGTGATTTATTCCTCAGGAAAAAACCCAAATTACTGGGAGTTAAGACCGATTAGGCGTTTGTGTCGGGCGGATTTTCTGTGTTCAATCGAGTGAAGTGAACGTTGTGAAAGCAGCTGAGAAGATAGCATCTATATAAACCATGAGGGAGGGACACGCAAGCAAAGATTGGATGGGCGCTCGTCCAAGTGCCGGTTTTACGTCGGTACCCGCCCCATGGGTCGCTGGGTTCTTTGTCGGCATTCCAATGAACGAGCCGTGAGTCTTCGTACGCTCTTGTCCTGATTTTTTTTTTATTCTGGAGAAGTGAGTGATGTTTTTGTGTTCGGGATAAGCCAGTCGTAGGTGTGACTCCAACCTTTGCACTGCCACGTTTTCAAAAACATTTTGTGTGTGAAATTGTTTTTGTTGAAATTCGACGTTAGAACTGCGCTCATCGTTTAGTACAATGAATTGCGCCGGAATTTTCACTTGGAACGCAGATGGGATACGTGGATTAAAAATCGGCTGAAATGAATGACAATTGCGATTTTCCCTTTTACGAAATTGTTTTGATTAATACAATGAATTTTCATAAATGTGGTATTGAATAAAACATACAATACAGTATTATTCTTTATGAGCTTTCAAATGTCAGGTTTTTCAAATGTCCTAATGTTTCTCAAACTGTGCTCCTGAAAATGAATTACCATAATTCATGTCTCAATCAATCTACGCGTCGGTCTTGAGCATTTTTTCTTTTGTTTTCAATTCACGGGTTTCTTCTACTGAAAATCATTGATCAATTTTTGAAACTACGCGGGAAATCAAAATTACTGCACTTCTTTCCACGTGAACAAATTCGATTGAAGCGTGAACTTCGTGCTTCCAAATCATTATTCCGTCTTTTTCATGTCGTGTAAAAATTGGGGCGTTGGAACGATTTTATCAAATCCGGTTTTAATTAATCTTCCAGGGTTTTCCCAACTGGTTTTCCTATTGAAAACATGCGGAAAAATCTTTGCATATTCATGATCTGACAAAACTACATTTTCTCGCAAAACATTTAAATCTTGGAATGCGCGTGAATTCAAGCATGTTTGTTGAATGAGCGACTACGAAATTCCTCGTGTTACGTAACGATTTACGAGGTAGGCCGTTTGAAAATTAATCCAAAGGGGGAACTTTTATCCCGAGGGTTTTCGTGTCCTCGATGTAATCCATCTATTGAGAATCAAGTTATATAACTGTCGATTCAAGCAAGCGTGGTCTTACCAATTAGTGAGCGTGATAGATTAAAAGATGTTCTTGATCCTTTTTCTTTTTTTGGGAGTTATGGAATCTTGCCTTTAGCAATTTGTGTGAGGAATCGGGGAATGTTCGCCCCGCATCACGCTGGCGAATGGAATGCTACTGCCCTCAGGGCAGGGAATAAAAATTTTCTTGGGGTCTTCGTAAAATTTCTTTAAATCGTGAAAAGGCAGAGGCCCTTATGGCTTATGCAACTTCTCGATTTGTTGTTGTAAAATATTAAGATTGGGCAAGCATGGATTTTCGCTTGCGTGAACGAAGCTTATTAAATTTTGTCGAGCTACTTTCATTCTGTTCCGTACTCCTCATTTTTATGGATCTCGCTCACGATGGACGCCACTGAGAATCTCATTAATAATTCCGGAATGCCCGTGGTGGTGATGGTGGCGGCGGCTCATGAAGGACGACTATAGAGCTACCGCTGTTCTCCAGCACCTTCACATTGAATCTTTTGCCTGAGGGGGTAAGCATGTGCTGTGCAAGTCGTGCTCTAGGGCTTTTGTCGGTTCGTTTCGTTTCACGGATCGAATGAGATGCGAGGATTTGAAGGAAAGTTTTGTCCAGTTTCATAGTGCCGTATTTTTTTCTGCACCGTGTTTTCCCAATATTTTAAATCACTGGGCCTTTATTTTTAAAGTTCCGTCGACTCGATTTGTGGATGGGGAGTGAAGCATTGTTTTGCCTATCGAAATGAAAGATTTAATGAATTGAATGAATTTTGATGGAAACTCAAGTGCTGGATTTTTCAAGGGTAGCGTCTCGTCTCAAATCTGAAAAAAAAAACATTTACAGTATCGGTGTCTTGCTGTTGAAATTTACTGTATGTGCTCTTGATTTCCTGCGAAAGTTTTCTTGAAACTTCAACGAGTGATCTTGAATGTGCTCAAGGCAGGGCTGCGAATGAAGATATTCCTAAATGATTATTCTAAAGTTGTATACAGTACATTATTTCAAAACTTGAATTCGGCGAAGAAACATAGCCGAAGTTTAAGTTGAAAAATCACGAAAGCACGTTTTTTTTTTTTTTTTTACGAATTCAGTCCCTCTCGAATTATATCAAGTTTCTGAAGAAACTTCGCTTGGAACCCGCATGCGTAAGCTTCTTTTCTCCCTTGCTCAGATTTTTTTATCTTCGAAATTTCGAATGATTCATCATAATTTGTCACTGGCAAAATTTTTTTTTCCAAGTTCCCGTTTTGAAAAGTTGCATGTTGTTTGTGCATCAAGACTCGGGGGGGGGGGGGGGGGGGGTTTTGGGGGGGAGGAAATNAACTTGATATAATTCGAGAGGGGGGGGGGGGGGTGATTTTGGGGGATATGCAAGGACCCTCTCCACGTACCGCATGACCTACAAGTTCATTGCCCAGGAAATTTTTTGAGGTTGTTGCTAAGCTAGATGCTGCAAGGAACAGATCGTCCTGTGCATTCGAGCTATGTAGACCGATTCGTGTAATACCTTGTAGGAAAAAAACGAATTTTATTTGTAGTATCGGCTATGAGCAATTTATAAATAAGTTAACGGAAGTTTTGAAATTCTATGAGTTCTGTTTAAAATTGTTTCGTTTTCGACGACAAAGGCAGTTGGAAAGAGGCCAAATGTGCTTCTCGGGTCAATTCCTGTAAATTTCCCTCAATTGTTCAAATCTCATCATTCGAACATTAGTTACAAAGTATTCAAGGAAGTAGACTTACTTTAATGCAAAAACGTAATATTAGCTGCAATTACTTCAAATTCCTTTTCAACATTCGCGACGGTGTAATTTTCTGATGAAAAAATACGCTGATCGTAATTAATCCATTAACGTAGAAGGGCATGTTATTCCTGGTGAAGGTCATCATGAACTAAGAGCATATTATGCAGAATTTTTTATCGCATATCTGAGGTCGTTGGGAATTCTTTCTCTAAGCAACCTATTACCTGGTTCGCATCTGTAAGCAAAGGTACTTTATCATCTTTTGAACATTTGTGAAACAAGTTACTGTTGGTACTTACAATGTTTCTTCGAATCATCGCTGGTGATGTTGATGTGAAACGCGTTTCCTTACTTGGGTGTTTTGTAATTTTTCATGTTTGAATTATTTTTTTCACATTTTTCACAGGGTCGGTTACGTGGAACCTGACGAGTTGTTGTTGTACGTGACCCAAGCCGAAAAATGGAGTTGAATGGCGAGAAAAATGGGGTCCAACAAAATGGACACGCGAAGAAAAACGGACTGTCGATGGAACCATGTCGTGTGGAAAGAGATTACGACGTGATTGTCGTGGGCGCTGGAATTACAGGGCTCTGGACTGCTCACCAGCTCGCCAACAAGGGATTTCATGTTCTAATTACCGAGCAGGTATAGTGATTATCTCTCGGCCACGTGATTGGGACACGGTTACTTGCTGTGTCAATTCACATTTGTCTATCTTTGGTTTGGTCAAAAACGATTTGGGTGATGATTTTTACCTAATTTCGCAACGTGTCGGTAATCTGTGCAATGGGGAGTTCAATGATAAGATTTGATCCGGTTTAATAAATTCTGGTCGAGTCCTCGCTGTAGCTTATTATGGTATGAAACTCGCGCAGATAGAAATCATCAGTTCCGTTCTGGTGTAGTGATTGTCTTGCGTTTGATTGATGTTGTTCGTGAGATTGGTCTGACTTGGCGAGATTTTGATCGAGCTTCGTCGAGTTCATCGGGGTCGAAAAGATCGGGATTCGTACTTGTCGTAGATTACGAGTGATTCCGATATAGAGCCAATGGGGGTTTGTTCCGGTTTCAGTATCCTAGGTGTCATTCCCGTGGTGGATCAGCAGGAAGTTCCCGAGCAGTGGAATTATCCTTTCCGAATGTGGATGGAATCCCAATGGTGATGGATGCCATTAGAATGTATGAGCAGCTCCAGGAAAGCACTCACGTGGATCTTATTCGGTCAGTGTGTACTTGTATTCAGTATATCTAGTCACATTTCTTTCCCGGATGAATCCGTTTTCGCCATCCAAGAATAGTTTTTTGTGTAAAAAAAAATAGGAGAAGAGATTTTCATAGTTTAAACATGAAGGATTTGTCTTTGTGTGTCGAGGTGATTTATTCAGAAAAATGAGTTTCGTAATCAAGCCGGAAAATTCCTCTGTGTGCTTCTCAATTACCGAAACGAACTGGATTTAATTGGAATCCATATAATAAAGGTTGGGGAAATTTTTTAAAGCGAAAAGAACCCTAGAAAACATCACTTCGTTTATTATTATTTCGGAACCCTGTGAGAAAATTATTTTTATCTGCCCGCAGGTCGACAAAATTGCTGGTGATGACTGAACAGCCTTGGAACAATACACCTTTGCCTGGCTTGCTGAAAGCTTTGAATGAAACATACGGACTCGGTGTCCAAAAACTGGATTATGAACAAATGAAAGCAAAATTTCCCGGAATGAGTTTTACTAATCCCGACACGTGTGCAATTTTGGATGACAAATCTGCGAAGGAGATGATAGCATCGAGTGTTATTTTCGCCCTCTGGGTAAGTTTTCCAAATTATGAGGTTAAAGGTTGAAACTTATCTCGACTCATTTTGCAAAAAAATGTATAAAATAAAATTTTCTTATCTTTACCAGAAATCCCTGGAGCAGAATCCAAAAGTGGATGTTATAGACAGATGTCCTGTGACGAAAATTATATCAGTTCCTTCAACTGAAGACTCGTGTGAGGAGAAACGTTCCTCGGGAGGTTCTTATGTATTAGTGGAGTGCAGAGATGAAGCAAGAAGTACGTTCAGTGCCAGTGCTGTGGTTTTGGCTACCGGTGGGTGGACACCGGAAATTTCCATCCTGAAGAGATCTGAGGGCAGAAAATCGGAAGTCAGCGTGGAAATGCCGAAAGTGGAGCCTCGATTGCTTGCTCAGATGTATTTTAAGGTATAATTAAATACGGTGGTACAGTAAAAAATCCCTACAACAAACTCCCAGGAACATGATGAAAAATTCGTTACAACGAGATTCTTGGTTTTTTGATCATGTTGGACTAAAATTTTATGGGAAGCATGATAAATGCATTTAAGTATTCCACGACAGATGTGTAAATAATCGCCATCATTTCCAACTTATATTAATGAAATACAATAATTTAGAAAAAATGTAGAACGTAAAATAACAATTCTCGTGTTTCAGACGCCCTCGTTTTAAATTTCCCAAAATTAATTTTCTGATGCGTAAGCTAAAACAAACAGGAAGTACGGTGCGTGTGGAAGAAAATGAATTATCCATTAAGAGCTGTATGTTCCCTAAAATTTAGCAGTATCCTTTAGATAGTTTAGAAAATACTTTTTCTTGATGAGAAAAATGAAAGATTTCTAAAGTCTAAAAAAGAAACTGGATAACTTTTGATCAGACCTTCATGCTTCCTGTGATGCTGTATTTCGTTTTCTGAAGTTTGAGCATTTTAATTTTTGGATGTTCTTTAACTATGCACAAGTATCCCATGCTGTGCTAATTAAAAATTTCTGAGGCACATGCACTTATGGTCGTGGCAAAAATTTGTTGTACTGACATAGAAGAAAATTAGCATGTTATAACGAAATTTTTATAATCATGTTCTTCTGAAGAAAATGGTATTTTACTGTATCATCTCGCCAATTTCTTGTGTCTATGCCATGAGATTGATGCACTGTGTTCGCAGAAAAAACCTGGTGGACCTCCAATACCAGATGGAACTGGATTTATCGAGTGGACTTGGGGATCAGACATTCCGATGAGAGGTTGGGGTAGACCTTCTACCAACACTCACCCTGATTTCGATTACATGGTTGGTTTTACATTGAAAATCTATGGTTTTACAATAAATATAATTGTATGTATGTACTGGCGTTTTTCTCAGCAGTTTCTTACAATTGCTTTCTGATAGAAAAAAATGTTTTCTGTTACAAACTCCCGTTTCTAATAAGTGCAGGTTGTCGGGCAAATCGTTACGACGTAATTTCCTAGATAAATGACCCTGAGAATTACAATTCTCGATTCTGTCTTAACAGGCAGGGATTGGAGAGTACCTGTCACCACAATCGGTGTCAAACATCGAATGTATGGACAAGTTTGAAGAATTGATAGCCAAAGCAAGGGATTACGTAAGGATGAGGCTCCCTTTCCTGGACGACACTCCACATTTGATTGAAAAAGCGATGGATTACGTAAGTGCATCCATCCCGTTTGTAAAACAACGACGGGCAATGTAATGAAAGGAATTCGTTTCCATCATTGTCTTCAGTTGACTGTATCAGACGAGAAATCCGGGCGGAGACTCGCTGGAGCGCAGAATATTTATCTTGCGATAGAAGGTGAGCCTTTTTTCTTTCCCGTTACTGAATAGTACTTCGTTTACGAGCACTCTTCTTTTCAAATTTGACTTGTAACGAAAAAGGGTGCGTCTTATTGGAGTCGGAGGATTTTAAGATTCGCGTGTAAGATGCAAATTTATACTCATAAGTCAACGCTTCTCTCGTTCACAAGATTCAAATCTGAACAACTCGTAACAATTCTGTTGAAAATACTATTTTAAAATTATGTTTTAAAATCATAATTTTTTATGAAATGTTTGTCAAAGTGTCTGGGGTTTTTCTCAACAGTTTCTTCAAGTGATAATATTAATGCTGGATACAGAGGTGATTTCTTTCAAAATTAAATCTAAGCTTTGTATAAATCGCCATTAGTCAATCGCCATTGAAATGATTCTGTATGAGTTCCTTTTTCGTGAATGCCTGAATGGGGTGCAATTTTCGGTTCGCCTTGCAAACATTTATTTTACGGTATTTCAAGAGGCATTGAGTCTGTTGGGTGAAGTATTTTATTGTCTTTCATTTGCATAAATACATGGATTTTTATGAAGGTAAAAAATGCGGAGAGGGTCATTAAGTTGATGGATAGTTCAGGAAAAGGCTTTCTTATCTTTTCCACATCTTGATTGATTTATATCAGGAACCAGTTTCTCGATGGCACCCGTCTACGCCAAGCTCCTCTCCGAGTTGTTGGAGAAGCACATGGGAAATCCACTTGACGATCAACTCGTGAAGAAAATGGCCTCCTTGTCTCACAATGGTGACGTCACCGAAAGCACTGGTCGAACCGGGTTTTCCAGCAAGTTCCATTGGTGAAAAATAAAAAAATCCAAATTTTGACGCTATGAATGTCAGTTGTATCGCTTATCCTGGATCTAGCAGTTGGTGCGCGGGATTTTCTTTTGACTTGTGCTTTTGTTCTACGTGGAAATGAGTTTCTCTGTTTCGGAGGCTTGGAATCGTGTTCCTGCAATATTTACATTTCTTTCGTTGTCGATTGATTACCAGCATGTGCTTTTTATTCTGTCGCCATTTTGTTTCTGTTCAGTTCATTTTTACGTGTTCGATGAAGCGGTGATCTCGGTGTGCCGATATGAACTCGCATCATTGTTCGGAATGTTCTGAAATTTTTTTCCTTCTTGATTTCGCTTTGTTTGTGTTCCGTACTAATTCGAGTAGTGTCGAGTAGGTAAAAGCCATGTCAAGTGACACAGTTGTAGTGACTGATGGTGAAAATCAATCGACGATAGAAGTGAGTGACTCTAACGTCACTGAGGTTTTGTTCGATTCGGAGGGACTCGATCCCGCGGAAGTTGTTGTTGAAGAACATGCTGAAAAGCAGGAGAAACTTATCCAATTCCCGCTTTCGCGAGTGCGTGCCTTGATGAAGTCTGATCCAGAATTTCAATTGGCAAGCAAAGAGGCTGTGGTTATTATAGCGAAAGCTGCGGTGAGTGCAGTTTTATAAATGCTATCCATGTGGTCACTATGTGTTGGGGTTTGCATTGCTATCCATGTGGTCTATGTCACTTTGTGTTGGGGTTTGCATGAGTTGTACACAAATCGACATTGAATCGAACACAGGCGACACCTATGATGAGTATAAAGAAAGACTCGCGAAGAGAGGGAAATTTTAATTTTACCGAATTCGATTATTTTGGGTAGGTGCTGCGCGAATCCGGAGCCTAATTGATACCTAAATTTAGGCGTCACCTATGCGGAACATTGTGTAACAGCAAAATAAATGCTTTTTTATGATCGTAATCTGATTATCGTGCAGGAAAAATTTGTGGCTTCCATCTCGGAAGAAGCTGGGCGATTAATGCAGCAACGCAAAAAGAAAACCTTGCAACCCCGGGATGTAGCTGAATGCATCCAGAACGACCCGAACCTTGAATTCCTTGACGGGGCGATGGACGAAGTGCTCACTGTTCAGTAAATGTCGCGCCCATTCCGTTCTGAAACGCGTGATACATGTGTTCGGCATGGAATAGTATTGATGGTGTGAATTCGAATCCAGGGAACGAAGCTCAGATGACAATTTTTGCACTGCCGATGTGAAGTAAACTGTGCTGGGTGTTTTTTATGTATGGAGTGGGTCAAATCATTCCTTGTTGGGTGATGGTGGTGATTTTCTGGTCTCTTTTCCTTGGTTTATGCTCGTTTGTCGACTTTTCTGAGTGCTTACGAAGTCAACGTTGAAAGATCGCGTTGATCTGGACTTGCAGAGATTTTTGAAAAATTTAGTCCCATGTTATAAACCCCCCTTGCCCGAACTGTGTCTAAAAATTGAATAGTTTTCGATTTTCATGCCCGAAATAGACCTTCGGAAGTTTAGAGGTACTAAGTACCACGAGTTGTGAGAATCCTTGGCTTAGAAGTCCTTCTTATCGACATCAGATGATTCATTATGAATCCATATTTCAATTATTTTCTTGGATTTTAACCCGTGTGATTTTTGAGGAACCACGGACAAAAATTAAAGGAGGCTGGGGGTCAGAATAACAAGTTTATTCATAGCCGAAGTAACAAAAACCAATAACAAAAAGTTCAACGCATCAATAACAGCAAATCGCGCGGAAGAAATTCTTACAATTTTCAAATTCGTGGCTGGTGGAATTTTTCGCGAGCTGAAAAAAGGCTTTGTGTGATGAATTCAGAATCTCGAAGATGGATATTTAAAGCAAGTTTTGTTGCTCGCGCTCGAATTCGTCGTTGGTGTTCTGTGCAGAATACCACACTTCCGTTGAAGGCAATGCCGGCTGTCTGAAGTTGTGATTGCGGCTGTGCTCAAGCAGTAAATCCGCGATGAAATTTCGATTGCGCTCGAAATGTTTGTGTGCCTTTGCGCAATCGGTAGAGTACCACCAGTCGCAAACTAGGTTCTTCTGATCGAAAATGGTTCCGTTGGGGCACAGGAAGGAATCTATTCGTCCGTCTCCGTGACACAGATGGAAACTCTGCAAGATTCAAACACGCGAATTTAAAAAAGAAACAATTGCAAGAACAAGAACAAGAAGAATTGCAGGAAGTTAAAGGATATATGGAAGATCCATCAGAAAAAATTTAGGAATGTTTTAATGAGTAAAACCTATCTGCCTGTCAAAATATTCGTATAGTGCTTGAAGTGTTGAACGGGAAAAAACCCCATTCCCATCAAATTAGCGAATACAGTATGAATTTTTAAACATTTGAAAAATATGTTCTCGTTTCTTTATTCTCCACTTCAAAAATATAGCTGAGTTTTCCTGCAGGACGGGAAATTTTTCGGAATTGAGTTTATTAAATTCATAAATATTTGCCTAATGAAGGCTATTTTTTGGATGAATTAAAATTGTATTTCAATCAAATACTGTACGCTTATTTTCATTAGTGCCCGGATATGATCGATTGATTTTGCTTCAAAAAATTATTTTCATGCTATTTTCTTAACCATTGCGTTGATGCGTTGCCTCAGGTCACCTTTTGCATGCTTCATTAAGACATGCACGGGTTGCACCAGAGTTTTAGTGAGTGAAAAGCTGCAATATGTCAGAAATAAGAAACTCTTAAATCAAATTTAGACATGGGTTAAATTATTATCCTTTTGTTTTGATTTAAAAATAAGTTGTTGTTGACAATACCCCATTTTATTCAAGCCAAATTGCACACTTGAATTTTTAACATTTTTCGAAAACATTTGCCCCTGCCTATGATGCATGCCCTTTTTTCCATCCTTATTTTGAGAAAAAGGTTGAGAGGGGTAATCAAGTAAATAAGGTATTTTATTTTGGGTATTTTCAGAATCTGAGTTGAATGAGGTCTGATAAGAGGGTCGAAATAGCAGATGCATCAGGCACAGTTTGATTTGCGGTTCAAGCGACACCTCTACACTGACATGTGCAAAATGAAGACGAAACTGTAATGTTCTTCCTAGATGTCCTTCTTATTCATATGGTACCTCGCAATTCGACCTCCAGCAATTCGACGGTCAACTTTGCAGGGAGGTCAGCTCTAAACTCGACCTCTACCGCGCAATTCGACCTTTGGAGAGACATTGAACATCAAATACCACGTAGAAAATATGCCATTTGATGTTGTCTCGCAATTCGACCCTGGTCCAGCAGCGAATTAGGGTCGAATTACGAGGGGCCACTTGTATACCATAATTTCCTTATTTTGTGACACTCGTTGAACATGCATTTTGGAAGGAAAGATGATGTGCTAAAATACAGCATATACATATGTACCTGACAGCGGGAAACCTGATCAGCATAGTACCCTGGCATCCGAGAGCCGCATTCGAAATCCGTTCTGGGAGTCCTCGAGTAAGCCGGGTAGTCGGTTCCCGGAACCCCTGGAACCCCTCTTCCGACTTTGATTCGCCTCAAGTGCTTGGCCATCATTTTCGTCTGCTTCCTCAGCAACTTTAGCACCTTCTTTGGTTCCCACGACTCCTGCCGCTCATCTTCTAGTAGGGTGGGTTTTGGGTTCGGAGTCGGCGATGATATCGGCAACGAATCGATCAGCGGTCTCCAAGATCCTTTTTTATTTTATTTCGTGAAGGATTTGAAATCGATGAAATGTCGAGGCAACTGGGGCATTTTCGAGAAAATCCTCAAAATTGTTTTTAAAAAATCAGTTTCAAAAAAGAACCATTTGGTATATTTTGTGAGGATGAGAAAGAAAAAGACACCTGCAAGAATGAATCGACATCCCTGCGATGAAGTGAGGAATTTTCATCAGCTGGAATAATCATTTATTCATTCGAAAACTTGAGTAATTTTTATCCCGAATAACCTTTTTCTCTCGTCCTCAAAGAATAGTGCTAATTTTGCAAGGCATCATTCAGACACCTGCAGCCTAAATTTGGTTTTGAAAAAGATGCTGAAATTGGAGGCAAGGATTTATTTCCAGAATTAGTCTCTCACTTCCTTCAGAAACACATCAAGTTACATTTTTTTATCACTATTCTCTCTTCTGTGTCGATAAAATAATAGCAAAAGCGCCTTCAGAAAATTCAAGTTATGCAGGTTCTGAAGTGAAAGCCTTGGAGTTAGAGAAGGTGTTTCAATGCACTGTTTCAACAAACAAGTTCCACCTGAAGGAAGTTTCGAGTTACATCCAGGTTCAACCGGTATATCACCTTCTTCCGGTGCCTGAAGGGAGAAAATGGGTGTCGGGGTCGTGGCTTCCGGACTTCCTTCCTCGTGTCGATAAATCGCACGTGAGAACGAACCCGGCATCACGTGGCGGAAGTTGAACGTGTCGAATGGCCTCAGGGGCAGGAGTGCTGCTGCTGCTGGACTCGCTGCTGCTGCCTCGTGCAAATAAATTGGCGTCGGCGTCGTGATGACTTGCCGCTGATGGTGGGGATGATGAAGTGGCGTCCAAAAGTGGCGGTGAAGGTCGTAGAATAAATTGGGCGTCGGAGGGCGGACGTAGAATGTCTGGGACGCTGCTGCTGCTGGTCTCGCAAATGCTGTGGATTCGCTGGTTAGCAAGTCCTGGCCCTGAATAAATTAGTGTTAGGGTATGCAAATTCATTCCACAGATATTTGCTTAGAAAAATGTAGTGCCAATTTTCAAATAACGGTATCTTATTGGAAATATTATGAAAAAAGAAACATTCGAGAAATGCTGGGTGTGGCCCAGAAAACAACTTGGACCCATTTCCAAAAATAAAACATTTTCTGAAGTGAGGAAGATGAAAAGTTGACCAAGAACGAGAATGCAAACCAACTCCTGCGGAATGAATTGTATTTAAAAAGCATGACTTCAATTACAAGACTTTTGTGATCATTCCAAAAACGCCTATTCTTGATAAAGATCCAGGTCAAGGTGAATTGAATATCCCAATCAATTTTCAAACAAGGTGCAAAAATTAATGTAATACATATATTCTTTCAGATTTCGCAAGTTTTACGGTGGTGATTAATTTCAAATCAAGAATTGGATTTTATTTTTAACCATAGAATTTTCACAGTAATATTCTGGAACCATGAAAAGAATGTACTTTCCACTAATGTTCCAGAATTGTCTCAGGCTAAGTTTAATTTGCAACTGAAAAACCTTCATGAAATATAACTCTGAGAGAAATTTTCTTCCCTATACCTGGCAACTTTTTCCGGAGACCAATTTTATTTTTCTCAATGATCTAAGTAATCAGATCAATTGATATTACAAATTTTGGGTGGAACATATTTGAAAGTACAGTAATTTGATTGACGCATCATTTTATACTATAAGTTGAGTTTCTTATCTTCTTAGTTTGAAAGGTAATACAGTCAAACCTCTTCAAATCAAAGTCAGGGGATAAAAAAAAAATCGATATGTGAATTCAACCCACGTTCAGAGAAAAGTAGCCCAGGGGTTGATGATGCTTGAAGTTGAATGATCCA